TGATGAAATCTCAGTCCTCCTTCTGGGAAGTATTAATGCTTATAGTTCATGCTGTACTGAATCAATTTCCTCCCTTGATTGTTGAACTCCGTATGTTAGGGGTGAGTTCCGACTCTCCTCCAGGAACTCCTCTTTAGCTCATTAGAGACTCCTCTCATTCTGCACATGGCAGCACTTTTCCCTCCAGGGAAAGAAAAACCAGGCAGAACTCCTTTCAGACACCCATGTTGCAAGTTATTTTTATGCACTAGCCTGAAGGGGTTTGTGCCAAAGACACAGGAAGCCCACGATGCAGTGTCAGCGCTACCATCACAGAGGATTTAGGATAAGAGCTTCAGTTTGAGGTCAAGCAGCACAGGAGCATATATTAGGAATGCCCAAAGGAGCATTAACACAAAAGTCAGGTTGAGAAGTGAAGTATTCAGGTGTAGGTGTGTGTGTGTGTGTGTGTGTGTGTGTGTGTGTGTGTGTGTGTGTAATGGGGCGTGGGGGAGGATATAATCCCAAACCACACATTCTTTCAAAACTTCTGCAGTCCATTGATTAAAATGGTTTACAACAGAGACTCCAGCAAAGTTTAACTGCCAGTTAGTCTTTCAAAATAAGGAGCTCTAGAAACAATTAATCTGTTGTTACATATACAGGCACAGTGTGCTGAAAACTGGGGTGCTCCAACTGGTCAGTCCATGGACATGCTACCTTGCCCCACTGGCCCAAAATCCCACCCAAATTTGAAGTGATTGCCTAGAGTGAGACCCTGGTTGGAAACAAAAGGAGAGCCTCAAGTGAAAGTCAAAGCAAAGTCTCTGTATGAAGAAGAGGGTAGAAGAGGGAAGAGCTGGAGGATGGAGGCAGGCGGAGAACATCAAGACAGACAGAGGGGCTTGGGAAGTCTGAGAAAAGCCAGGAGCTGAAATTGGAACGAAGAAGGTCTCTGGGAAAGAGTGGGTGTCCTAAGAGGCAGCCTGCAAGAGAGATTCGCAGCTCAGAGTCAGCTGGGTTGCTGAGCGCCTGAGGCAGCCAGGTTGTTGGACCAGGGTGAAGACCGCAGCAGAAGTCCTGGTAGATGTTTATGAGGCTTCAGAACAGTGTTTCCCAACTTGTGGGTCATGAAACCTGTGTCAGGAGCTCGCTGCTCCACCCACTATTTTAAAAAAACCCAACAACTTTGTAGTAGGCTAGTTTCTATACACATGCCACTCCCCTCTAGCCTCCATTCAGACAAACTAGAGTCATTATCAGAGCTAAGGACACATTTCTGCCAGGGCAAAGCAAGGCTAATGAAGGGTGGCCCTGGGAGAATTCTCAGGGGCAGGTAGAGAGGCCTGGGGTCACATTTACGCCCTGGCTGGCCCTGAGGTTCTCTACCTCTGATCTAACAGGATTGAACTCGGGACTTTCTCATGTATGTGCTCCACTACTGAGCTGTAAAAGATCAGTTTTGAATATTCTAATGTATTGAGCATATGTGTGTGTGTGTGTGTGTGTGTGTGTGTGTGTGTGTATGGTAACCATGCCACTAGAAGATGGGTTTTTAATTTTCCTGCACCCGTGAATAAAAAAAAATACTCCTTCTGCTTGAAGAAAAAAAGTTTAATCCCCATTCCCTGAGCAGCAGTCTACAGAGTTAACAAAGCCTGATGAAATATTTGAATTTTGAACACCATTACCCCCATTCCTTCACATTCACTGAGCACATGCCTCAGGTGAATACATGGCTGACAGATCAAATGTAAAACTTGCACTCAGCCGTCAATATTTAATAAATGGCTTAGTCCATGTCCCTTTGCTTTTCCTCTCCAATGTTCAGTAAATTAAATTGGTATAGTGATATATGTTATAAATAGAATAGAATAAATAGAAGAGAAGATTAGCACATAAAACTCAATTCTGTACTCCTTAAAACTAATGTATCATTTGCTAGGCATTAGATTATGCTACAATCAAGACTTCGGCTAAATTTAATTATGTTCTCTTCTGAGTCTAGATATTGACATGTATTTAGTTAAAATGGTGTGAAGTGAAGACATTACTAATGTTAACTCATTTACCAATTTAGCTTTAGTTTTCCTTAGGGTTTAATACTGCTGTATCAGTTCAGTTTAATACAGTGTTACCTTGCCAATAGAATTATGGGTTGATCCTATATTTCCTGTTCAGAAGCAGCTTTGGGCATTCACTTATTTGCTGTATTCAAAGGACCGGTTAGAAATAAGAATGAGGATGAGAATTAAGCTTTATAGATGTGTCATTTAGTATTTTGATCCCTTCCTTGTGTATGGCTGCAAACAGACTCATATTCCTATTAGAATTCCCTTTGTCCTTCCTGTCTACTATAAGCCCTGAGATGTTGTACTATGGAATTAAGTCAGGGCATTTTAAAATAGTGACCTGGATCAAGGGATAGTTCTGATCTTTGGTGCTGACCTTTAAAGCCCTAAATGGCCTCGGCCCAGTATACCTGAAGGAGCATCTCCACCCCCATCGTTCTGCCCAGGCACTGAGGTCCAGCACCAAGGGCCTTCTGGCGGTTCCCTCACTGCTAGAAGTGAGGTTACAGGGAACCAGACAGAGGGCCTTCTTGGTAGTGGCGCCCACTCTGTGGAATACCCTCCCATCAGATGTCAAAGAAATAAAGAACAATCTGACTTTTAGAAGACATCTGAAGGCAGTCCTGTTTTAGGGAAATTTTTAATGTTTGATGCTTTATCGCATTATTATTATTATTATTATTATTATTATTATCATTAATATTTTGTTGGGAGCCGCCCAGAGCCAGATGGGCGGAGTATAAATAATAAATTGTTGTTGTTGTTGTTGTTGTTAAGACACAAGCAGATCAATCAATTGTAAGTGACTTTTGATTACATTACTGCTCATTGCTTTCCATTGCCTTCTGGATTGTCCAATCCTATATTTGACCTTCATCTCAGCAGGTCTTTTAATAGTCTAGAGCAGATATGGGTAACCTGTACCCTTCCAGACATTGTTGGACTCCATCAGACCAAGCCAGTATGGCCATTGGTCAGGGATTACGAGAGTGGCAGTCCAGCAACATCTGGAAGGCCACAGGTTCCTCACCCCTTGTCTAGAGCATGCGTCAGGAAATAATCTGAACAACCCAACTAGAACCTGGACAAAGCCATGTCTCCACTGCAGCACCAGAAGTCATTTAGGATGTCTGCACTTTGAATTTAAAACAATCTTAAATCTGTTTCATTATCACCCATGGCAGACAAGAAAACATGGGAACTGTAGGGCTGTAATGATATATAGTATGGTGCAGTGGCTAAAGTGTTGGACTAGGACTGGAAGGTTCAAATCTCCACTGAGCACACCAAGAACTCACCAGATAGTTACAAATCATGGTTTAAGGTCACATGCCACAGAGTGTTTCAAGCTAAGGTTTAGTCACTGCTAGGGACCCCAGTTAGATTTTCCAGGTCAAATAATGCAATGCTTGTCTGAGTTCAGATTTTATAAAAAAGACACTAAACACCATTCTGTGGAGCTGCTGACTAAGTAGTTTTGTTACAGATCCAATCACTTTTGAAAGCATGACTGCCTGGGTTTTATCAAAGAAGTAAGCTTCTGTTTGCAATTTATAGAAGCCCTTGAAAATACATGCAGTTTTTAAAGGGTCAAGACAAGAAAACTTGTTCAAAGGGGGGGAAAACAAGACGCCTTGCGCTCTGCTCCCCCTTCCTCCTATCCCGTGACCTGTATTGAGGGTTCTCCTGTTCCTCCAGAACAGATTTGGTGCAGAGCTGGAGGGAAGCCCCATTGCACCAGCAGGAGCTCTTGCGCTGGCTTCCACTAGGGCATCGAGTTAGTTGAATCCAAGCTAATATTCAGTTTGCACTTTAATACAAGCCTACCTAACATTTCAGAACAATATGCATACCAAAACACAGCTATCCTTTGAAATTTGCACTTCTCGAAATGTTGCGATGCATTTATCCAATCAAAAAACTATGTACAAAAATGCATATTAGAGGGAAAGGTGCACTAAAACGGTGGCAAATCTTCATGACACCTTTGAAAAAAAGTTTAAAACTGCTGTGTAAAGCTGATGAACTGAACTTATGGTTTGAAAAATGAAAAACTGAGAAAGATGGATAGAAGCATCCATCCCAAGCTTTCATTAGGAGTGAGAATAGTTTCTCCTAACTTAATTTTACTTGCAAACATTCAAATTTATATTATATAATTAGACTTTTTCCAACTGTGGATGCTGCTGGATTTATGAATTTTAAATTTTAAATTTTGTTTTGCTTTATTTATTTGTTGACCCATCCTTCAGCAGTTTCCTAAGAAGTTTACAAAAAGTTAAAATTACAAAAGAAAACAAAGCAAAAAATAAATCAAGAACATTAAATATAAAAAGAGCATTATAAAAGCAGTCAACAGAATTAGAAACAATCAGCACCAAGGAGCATAAAACTAATGTACAGGTCCAATGAAAAATCAAAAATAGGAAAGAATTAATTTGCCTTAACATTATTTGAGAAGATTAATGATTTCTAATATTTTCTTGAATTAGTCTGCAGGCTACATGAATATGCACAAATAATTTGAAAATTCACAAACTCTAAATTACATTCAAATAATTTAACAATAAGAGCTGCATTATCAAATAGTCCCTTGTCTTTTAACTTCAAAAGCAGTGTTTGAAACTCAGGAACTTGAATTCTAATGCTGCTGCTACTGCTGTTTAAATGCTTGTAATTTTATGAATTTGTATTACACTTTATTTCAGAGCTCATTTTTGCTGTGCTTATAGTGCTATCCTGTGCACATCCACTCAGATGTAATCTCCATTGGATTCAATAGGAAAGGTTTTTCTAGGGTTGCCTTTATTATCAGTTTAGTTCACATGTAACATTTTCAGTCTGGAAACCCATGGTTTAAGTGTTGTGTCCTCAATGCATTACAAGGTTTTGTTAAACCACAGTTTCTTGTTAAGTATAAACCAGGAAACCACATTTTAAACTCTTCCCATGTGGGGTCAGGGGCGTTCGGGCAGGGCCTGGTTCCGCTCGCATGGAGCAGCCTCGGGCCCGGCTGCTGAGGACGTACTCAGGGCTGCGGGGGGGGGACCAGGCTGGGCCGGGCTGGGCGCGGCCTCCGCTGCTGCCGCTCGCCGGGCTTGGCTGAGGCGGCTGCCCCCTCCCGCCCCCTGGATCTCGCCCCCAGTGGACCGCAAGCACCTCTTCAGCAGCAGCTGCTCCTCCTCCCTGTCCTTTGAGGAGGCGGTCACCTCTTCCTCCTTCAGAGACCAGAGTTACCTGCCCCCCAAGGGGGTCCAAAAGGCCCAGAGGCAGGAAAAGGCCCCCGCTGCCCCCCCTTCCTCCTCAGAGGACTCCGATTTCCTGCCCCCCACCAGGAAGGCCCGGCTGCGCAAAAAGCCCCCCAGCAGGAAGGGCACGGCCAAGAAAAAGGGGAAGGGGGCCAAGGAGAACAAGGCCCCGCAAGGAGAGCTCGGGGGCCGGCCTGCTGCCGCCAACCCCTTTGTGCCCCCCACCCCACTGCGCAGGAACGTCACTCAGTGCTGACAGAAGCCTGTCCAGAGAGGGCTGAGTATACGGTTCCCGTTGCTGTTGAGCACCGCCGAGCTGCCGCGGCTGGTGAAAAGGGATTTGGAGGAAGAGGGAGGTGAGGAGGGCGTCCTGCGGGGCAGCAGCCCTGTCTCTTACGCCTGCTGCTTTCATCCCGATGATCTGCAGGAAGTGTTGCAAGAGGACTGCTGTGGTGGCGGTGGAGGTGGCCTCTCTGAGCTGAGCTCAATGAAGATGGCTGCCAGGGAGATGGGAAGCAGCTTGGAGCTCTTCACCCTGGAGGATGTCCCGAGTCTACAGCGGAAGTCTGTGCACGAGGATTCCCAGGCTGAACCTCTGCCCATGACGTTATTTCAGCCGCACTGCAGCAGCTCACCCCACACACTGCTCAAAAGCAGCTCTGCCTTGCAGTGTTGCACTTCCTGCAGTGAGACGGGAGCATCTTTGCAAAACAGGGAAGGGCTCACAATCTCACCGGGGTGTTATGTGGTCAGCCCCAGTCGTCTTCAAAGCCCAGGTGCAGATCATGGCTAGAGCCTCCCAGTGTCACCAAAAGAGCCTCTTTCGGGTGTTTTCCAGCTACAAGCCAATTTGCATGATGACTATGAAGCAGAAATGAAAACCAGATTTGTAGACATATCTTAAATTGCAGGGACACAGGGACAATGCTCATTTTCAGTGCAGCAAATGGACTGTCTTGTCTTGATATTATTTTTTGTAAAATTGGCATTGATTTTAAAATTTATAAGACACTTTTTGGATGGGAAGATGGGCTAAAAACCATGAAATAAAAGAAAACAATTTGCATAGCTGTGCCCTGCTTATCTCATGCAGTAAGGCTCCCACAGTAGCTTTTTCTTGCAACATAACAGCTGCCATCCAAGGTCAGATTCAGCTCTGTATATCCTTGGGAACTCTTCTCCATTGGCCTCTGCTCTGTCCTCTTAACTCTTTGTTTCTGTTTGCCCAGAGAGAGCTTTGTTTCTACCTATTTCTACAGAGGTATCATTGCCTGTCTCTTCTCTAGCTCATTTACAGATCAATACACACTGCGCGATGTGCTGTATAGCTCGGTAACCTTCAGAGACCAGCTAATGGCAATGGTGGAGAGCTGCTTCTCTTAGCCGTAAACTATAAGAAAGTCAAGATTTACTGTTTGTCCTAGTCAGGAGGGAATGGAATTTCAGAGCAGCCTCTTGAGCTATTTTACTGTGTAGAAATAAGGCTGCAGGATCCGGCAAAGGCTGCTACAGCAAGAGAAATACTTGTTTGCTGAGGTAAAGAGAAGAAGGGGGAATTACTGCTACTGCTATTAAAAAATACTAATACATAGGAGATTCTAGCACAAAAGTGGCACAGCCATGGCTCAAGAGTACCTAGAGACTCGCCTCACCTCTTGACTTCATCATGAGATATGCGGTATTTCCTTCTCTTTACTTTCATAGAGTTCATGCTACAGGCACTTATCATAATTATAATTTTTGGCTCCCGCTAACGATAGAATTCCCCCCCTCCATCACCTTCTGATATATTATTTGCACCCTAGACTATGAGAAACAATTACTTTCCTCCAAAACTCTCATTTCCATCCCCCTTCCTGCCTACAACATAGTAGCTAATTTTACACCAAGGACCTAATTACTTCAGCTCTCCTGGCATTTTTCTTCTGCTCTTCAAGTCATAAAGCCCATGTTGCTGTGTCTGAAGTCCTCATTAGATGGAGCTTCAGAAAACTTGCCTTGTGAGCAGCCACTAAAAAAAATATTGTATCTAACAAAAGCAGCCCCAATTCTGTAATCTGGTATGATCATCCTTAAGGCTTAAACAGATCTATGCTATGATGATTAGTTTATCATGCAAGTAAGTGGCTCTCATACACATCTTATTTTTGCAAGGTCTTTGCTTGCAAATGGTGGGCTGGGGCAGTTCTACTGCACAGACATTCTTCATGCAAGAAGCACAAATTCCTGGTGGTGGTGGCTGAAGCTGGTATGCAGCTGTTGCATTTGCCACAATAGGGCCTAAATCAGGACTGGAGAACCTGTGGCCCTCCATATGTTCTTGAGCCCAACTCCCATCAGCTCCAGTCAGCGTGGCTGATGGCTAGAGACTGTAAAACATGGTAGACCAGAACTGAGTCACTTTATGACTCCAAGAGCAAAGTAGAAATCAGGTGACCAGCAGCAGCAATGGAAAACAGAAGAGGTTTAACACAAGAACAGGCCTTTTCTGTGGTGGCTCCTTGTCTGTGGAATGCTCTCCCCAGGGAGGCTGGCACCAGCAGAAAATGTTTGTAACCCGGCCTTTGGCTGATGGAACATTCTATGACCTTTGTAATGTGTTTGTGAGAGTGGTACTATTGGTTTGTGTTTGTTTTAGTTTTATTATGTATTTTATGTTCTAATTTTGGATTTTTATGTTGTGAACCACCCTGTGATCCTTGGATGAAGGAAAGTATACAGTTTGAATAAATAATAATGATGATGATGATGATGATGATGATGATGATGTTCTTAAAAACAAACAAACAAACAAAATCCACAAACAGATCCTCAAATATTATAAAATGGTTAGGAGCCAGTGTGGTGTAGTGGTTAAGAGCGGTAGTCTCGTTATCTGGGGAACCGGGTTCACGTCTCCGCTCCTCCACATGCAGCTGCTGGGTGACCTTGGGCTAGTCACACTTCTCTGAAGTCTCTCAGCCCCACTCACCTCACAGAGTGTTTGTTGTGGGGGAGGAAGGGAAAGGAGAATGTTAGCCGCTTTGAGACTCCTTAAAGGGAGTGAAAGGCGGGATATCAAATCCAAACTCTTCTTTCAGTGACCCTCCCTTCCAAACAGTGACAGACCTTGGCCTCTCAAATTTCAGTGGCGCCCCATGCGACACCAAAATCTGGTGCATCCCCCCCCTTCCTACCTTCTGTTGGACTTCATAGTTGTGCCACCTGCTACAGCAACCCAGAAGCTCTGTGCCCAGTGCAACTGAATCAGTCATGGTCTCCTAGAACCAAAGGAATTGAAAACTTAAGAGTGCACCCCTCAAATATCTCTCAGTTAGCATAATGGAGCACATGCAACAAGCCTATAACCTGAAAATGGGGCTGCAACTTAAAATAAAAATCATTGTGGCATTTGGCTCTTTTTATATCATTATTCTGAGAGGTGAGCAGAAGACAATCCTCTCTCTATCTAAAGTATATATCATACATACAGAGAACATTTTGCAATCTATTCTTAGGCTTTCTCGTATCTCACCAAGGCCCTTTCATAAGCATACAATTCCTCTCTCTACAGGTATATTCACTCCCTAAGGGATTGAAGGCATGTGGAAGTCAGAGTGATTCTTTGACAATGACGATGTGGGTCTTTGCGAAGCAGCCTGTCAAAACAGTTCTTCACCTTAGCAACTGTTGTCTTTACAGTGGAAGGCTGTTAAGCCTTGTAATGTCAAACTCCACTTTGTTCCCTCCAGTCTTACATTTTCAGTATCAGCAACTCTTTTGCTTAAGGGCTGATTTTCCATTAGTCTATTCCTACCCACAGTGGGGGTTTTTTTGTTATGATTTCCAGTATGTAATGTTGTGCTTAATTAATTTACTTTCTCTCTCTCTCTCTCTCATTAGTATTTGTATTGGCTGTTAACTTTAATAGTTCCTTCAGAGCCAAGTATCTTAAGGTCTGGCCTAAAAACCCAGACCTAAAAACTGGGAACTTTTGCAAACGCAGAGAGCCTGCCACTCTAAAAACCCTCACACAGTTAGACTGTTTTTTCCTGGCTAAATGATGGGTGGCTACTGATCTAAAGTGCCTGTTGGATCCAGATAAGGGGAGTCCAAAATGTCTTTGGTTTGTGGCTATCTCAGAGCAGTTACAGTCTTCAAAGCATAGCTGTATTTTAAAGATGACACTGGTGGAAATGCAAGGAATATAAAATGGTCGCTGGAATTCTTCCCCTTAAAGCAGGCAGCACAAATATCCTGCAAAAGGTTTTGGTGAATCATTCACCCAAGGCTTGCTCCTGCACGTCAAATACTTATGCATAGAATAGAAAAAGACTGACAGCTGTTTTGGATTCCTGGAATGATTAACCAGGAGGATCTGCTACAGCAACCAAAGTTGCACAACTTTTCTTCTGAAATGCATAAAAAAATATGGAAGAGCCAACAATCTGCTTCTGTTTATTTTCTGGAAGCTGCAGAACATCCCTTATAATGAAAGTACTGGTGTACTTTAGGGCAGGAGTCACCAACCTCTGAACACCGGTGGGTGCATCTGGAACCTGTGCTGGGGGTCTGCTGTTGAGGGTATGGCATAACACAAAATGGCTGTCACATCTCTTTTTTATGAGCAGAAAAAGAGACAGGGCCACAAAATGGTTCAAGTATGCCCCTGCTCATCAATGGGGGAAAGCCATGCTGGCTCAGGGAGAGAAACTATTTGCATCTCTCTCCACTGTTCAGAATGGGAGGAACTGAGGGAAAGTGCCAATGAAGTGTGGGCTTGTTTAAGGAAAAATTGTTCAACATAGGACAAGCCAAGTCAGTGCAATCCGAAACTAAACAGGGAAAGCAAATAGTCAGCATGTTTACTGAAACCTTTTGCAGGTACTATAGTATGTATGTATTGGAAGGCACAGTGGTGCCCCACGGCTCCATGGCAACCCCTACTATTGGTAAAATTTTATTCTCAGCTGTGGAAGAATTAGGTCTAAGGTTAAGAACACTGAATTTCATCAGCAAATATTTGATACTATGTTAGAAAGATAATTTTATCCTGCAATCTGCTCTTGCTCCTATCTTTATTCCACTGAATCAAAATGCATGCTGAAATCTCTTGCATATACTGGTAGTTAGTAAGAAATGCTAATAATCACATACCAGGCTCTCAGCAGACCACTTGCTCCCAAACAATGTGCATCTGATTAAAGAATGTATACTTTATGTACTGCATAAATGACAAAAGGGCCTGCCATCTCTGTGGCTAGTTCCCTGCTGCTG